CTCACATACTTTGGGCATGTTCCCAGTCCTTGGAGAAGGACATCCTGCTTGGAAGGGTAGAGTGATCCCAAATGAAATGGACAGACACCATAACTGGGATAGAAAGGGCAGGTGTGTGAGAGACAGTGAGATTGGCCTAGGACAGAGCAGGGTTCTGAGCTATTGTACATGGGGTCATTATGAGTCGTGGTCGACTTGACGGCACCTAAGTACAACAATAACAGGTTTAATTGCACCTGTAGCACATTCTCATTTAAGGAGTATAGATGTAATGTCCATAGAACTGTAAGTATTCACCAATAATGCTTACATTTTCCTGGTATCACTATTATATCTAAATAGCATATAGAGTTTTCAAACATAAAGTGATATTAATGATGTTGTTCTTATTCAGAAAGAATATACGGGAATACATTATTTGAGATCAAACATGATAACAATGTAGTAGCCTACTGGATGATTTAATATTGATTAATTGGAAGCAGAAGTGGCATCTACGTCCTAAAAAAAACATGCCTCTGGAAACTCTATGAATTTGGGAAATGACTATAGTTATAGAAAGGCCTCAAGTCTTTTGTTCAAAGGGTTGCTATGAGTCATGCTCGACTCAACAGTAATCAACAGCAACAACTGAGTATTCATTTCCCTTTCCTCTACTTTTGAGAGAAAGAAAAACAATTAGAGAGGCTATGTTACATGAAGGTCAAGTGCATATGTCACTGATTTGATCCATGAAGTCTTCACTTCATCCTAAAAATGTAAAGGGTAACATGGGACTGAACATCTAAAATATCAATTTGAGAGTAAAAATTTAACTAGTAATTGATTTTTCCTGAAACAAAGTTCTTCTCATATTACCAAAAACAAAGATACAGTACTTAAACCTTTAATTAGATGCATCTCCTGAAAAGTTGTAAACCTTATTCAGGACCTGACTGAGGAACTGACTTCTTAAAGAATAACTTGCAAGTTTTGTTTAAGAGAAGGTGAGTATATTCCAGACACATGACTCAAAAAAGATGTTACAAGGTTACGTATATCCAGTTTAGGTAGAAGCAGTGGCAAACTAAATTTTATTTAAAAAAAATGATATCTTTGACTTGGGTTCAGACAGATGGTATGATTAAAGCCGACTAAGATATATGTCCCAAGATTAACCTGGGGACACATTTGAGAGAGTGTAAGAGGAATGATTGGGAATGAGAAATGTCATCTTATTAGAGGTACAATTTAATTCTGTTTCTCAGTGCAAATTGATTTTGTGTTATCATTGTTTTTCTACTTGAGTTTGTGTAAGAGGGACATTAATATAGCATGGATATAGCTCTTTCATGGTTTCATTACTCTCAAAATGATAACAATTCATTGAAGAGTATTAGAAAAATGAATTCAATAAGATAGCCTCTTTTCACTAACGAATTAACTAGAATTTTAATACATTTTATTTTAGTAATTAAGGAGAAAACAAATCAAATGTATTTCTGCAAGATACATACTAGTTTCATGGAAAGTAAGTAGCAGGCAATATATGAAGCCTCCCCTCAAAAGTGGCTGAAATATGACTCTGAAATAAAGAATTTCAACTTAATAGAAGAAAATAAATTGGTAAAAATATCTCCAATATGAAGGCGAGTAAGCAGAATGAGGAGATTAAGTGAGAAAAAAAAGACAAATGAAATTTGACAGGTTTTTTGAAAGCATTATCATATTATACACATAAAAATAATATCAATTAAAGTTATACTGCTTTCTGATAATAATTATTTTGAGTCTATAAGTCTTGTAATTATTATGTACCATCAAGTCAGAAGTGACTCATAACTAATCCTCCAGTGGGTTTCAGAGGCAGTAAATTGCATGAGAGGAGACTGTCCATCTTTCTGTTGTATAGTAGCTGGTGGATTCGAATCATGTACTTTCGGGGTGGCAGCATGATTTTTTAGCACTGAGTTATGAGATTGTCAGTCAGGCTTCTGGTTCATGGTTGACTTGTACACAACATATTAAAATGCTCTCTATCTCTGTAAGGAGTTGCAGATCAGAACATTGTGATCAATAGAGAGATGGTGGTTTTGGAGGGGCTGATTTTTAGAAGTAGATTTCCAGATCTTTATTCATGCTCACTTTTAATCTGAATGTTCTAATAACATCTGTTCAGAACTATAACAACATACAGGTGAGGGGTAATGGCTGTACATGAGATGCTTTGGCCAGCTTCCTTCAAAACCAAACACAAGAAGTTTATTACTGAATTGTCATCGCCCCTACTACAGACAGCACTTATGTAAAAATATCATTTTGCCCAAGTCTTTGGTCTCAGATTGTATTCTTATTTAAATAAATTCCAAAATTTCCTCTTTTCCTAATGACTTTTAAAAACAGTACAGTTTTTACTATATTTGTCACACTTCCAATTTATTTATCTGTACTTTTTGGCTGTTTCTTTTATATTTGTTTCAGCATTCCCTAGTGGCACAATGGGTTAAATGTTGAGCTGCTAACTAAAAGGTCAGTGGTTCAAATCCACCAACCACTCATGGTGTGGCTCATGTAAAAATGTATAACCTCTGAAATTTATGAAAGAGTTCTACTTTAATGAGTCAGAACTGACTAAACAACAGTGAGCTGGGTATTTTTGCTTTCTTAAATTGATCTTTAAGCCTGTGGACACAAAATCAGTAATATCATAAATTCAAATATATAATTCCACAATATATGGGAGCTGTGACAAAAAAAAAAATCAAGCCAAAACAAAACAACATAATAGTGAAGTAAGAGGGAAGGGAAGGAGACAGAACACTATTTTTACCCTTTGGAGTGACTTCTCTACAAAAGTTAATTTTTATCACAGTATTGAACAGAGTAAATAATAACAAGAGATAGACTAATGCTTCTGAAATCTGACCAGTCTAGGAATATTTAAGGCAAACTAACATGGTCAGACTTATGAGAGCGGTGTAAGCAAGGCAGGGAGGGAAGGAATCAGCGCTGAAGATATGGCACTGTGGACTATTATAATTACCATGGTGGTACTAGGTATTATTGTCAAGCCAATTTTCAACTTATAGGGAATTCATGTATTAGTACAGGATTGCCCAGTTAGCATTTCTTGGCTGTAATCTTTATGGAATATATTTCCAAGTCTCTCTGCCACAGAGCCACTGTTGTTGTATACCACTGAGTTGGAACTGACTCAGAGCTAAACCTCCAGCTGGTTTTCAGAGGCACTAAGCATCCACTTCATAAATAACATGACACCAGAAACTCTATGACTTTGAAAAATGTTGACAGTTGTAGAGGGGCTTTGGGCCTGTTGTTCATAGGGTCTCTATGAGTTGTGCTTGATTTGAAGGCAATCAACAGCAACAACAAGGTGCACATGAGGAGACTGGACTTTTTTTTTCCTCACAGAACACCTGGTAGATTTGAACTGCTTACCTTTTGGTTGGCAGTGTAACTCTTTACCCAATAGGCCATCAGAGTTTTTCTGGATGAGATGGAAAGGGATTAAAGTTAAGAACAAGATATAAAAGATACTGTGATAGGCTGTTTAAAAGAGATATGTGATTAGGTATTTTTGTCATGACAGGAGTCTACAGCGAGGGCTACATGGTAGAGTGGACCTCGGGGAGGGTTTGTAAAACAATGAAAGAATTTTTCTTTTACTTTTCCAAGAGGATAGTGCACTAGGGGGGAGGGTTGGGAGGGGAGAAAAGTGCAACAATGAATGAATGGAAATCCAAAGTCTCTGTAAATTTTTACTGAAATTAACAATAAATTTAAATAAAACAAACAAACAAACAAAGTTTCTCTCATTGGCCTGTACAAGATGGGTATTTGTATAAAATTAAAAGCTGGTTGAATTTGTATCAGATCAAATTGTTGAGAAATTAATTGAATTGGGCAAGAAGAGAAGAATCAAGGTTGAAACAGAATTTTATTAGAAAATTTGGACAAATAATATTTGCTTATTGAGAGGGAGAAGCCTGGAGCAGTTTAAAGGTCAGGAAAATGGAGTTTAGTTTGGGGTAGATAAAACTGGCATACCTACTGGATATTCAGCAAAAGATATTACTAATCAGTTTTACACATGGATCAAGATGGAATATGCTTTCTCTTATTAGAAAGACATGTAAAAGATTGTTTACTTATATTTTTGTCCGCATGTTGCTTACAGAATATTTTATCTCAAGTCTTTTCAATTTTATTTCAGACTATATTCTTCTTCTACGTTTGAAAATACTATGATTTGATCATTACATATGGAATATGCTTATGACATATGCTTTAACATAAACAATACAAATGGTTCCCAAATACGTTTTTTTAAAAAGTGGTTATATTACTTCACTTCTCAAAGTTGACTTCCTTTATTTGTTTTCCTAAAACCAACCCCTAAAATGAGAAGGACAGCGGAGGAGAGGAAGATCCTCCACCAGGTGGACTGACCCAATGACTACATCAGTGTGCTTGAGGGTGTCAGAAATTGTGAGGATAGTACAGCGTTCAGGTCTGTTGTTCCTAGGGTTGCGATGAGTTGTAGTTCACTCAATGGCATGTAACAGCAATCATGAAAATATTAAGAATAGGCAATGAGAAAAACGCACATATTACTTTCTTCACTGCATGTTTTGTAAGTATAAGGAAAATTCTTGTTTATCTATTGAAGTGCTTTCTAGAAGATAAATGTCATTTCACATAAAATAAAATTAAACCTAAAAATAAAATTCATTTGTCTGACTGCCAGAACTGGTAAAGATAATAAAAATATTGTAAGTCTGCCTTGCTATCACATTTGTCAATCTATACAAAAATTAGAGAAAAGTAAACATGTCCATGTTAAATAATATATGAAGAAAAAAAAGAATGCTAAGATGCAGTACTATAATTAGTTAAAAAGATAGATTAAAATACTATGGAAACAGTGGTTTTTAAACAGTAAAATCATGCTCAAATCTGTGCAGAGATTAGAGTAAGATCTGTAGCTGAGCGGGGCTTACCAAGTGGTTGACCTGCGATGATCCTGGCATTTTCTCCGGCGACTGCAGCCCTTGCGTGCCGTTCACTCATGTACTGTACGAATGCATAACCTTTGTGCACTGAGCAGCCCACTATTTTTCCATACTTTGAGAAAATGGCTTCAATGTCAACTTTCTTGACAATGGCTGTATTTAGGTTTCCGATGAAAACTCGGGAGTTGATGGACTTGGGGTCATTCTTATTGGTGACGTTGCTGGTCTGTGTTTTGCCAGTCATGGTTGGCTCGCCTTGTTTTAACCCTTAAACAAACAATCAAAAAGGAAATAATTAGACATAATAAGTGTCACTGGCTTTTAATAATTTTCCCCCACTTAGCTGAGATAACCTCAAATCTCTAAGTATTACTGAGTTTCTTGCAAAGAAATCTTACTAATGTAAAAGTAGAAACTGTGCTGTTAAATTCATCAGGTGAATAATCACAATGACTTGACATTTACTATAAATAAATCAATAATTTGTTTATCTAGAATTCAGCCATGCACAATGACTAGACATTTTACAATTGTGTTTGCTTTAAAATCTATTTTGCATAAGTACATGAAATAAACCATCTTATTATATCAATGATATTCTACAGTCATATGATAAATATAGTAATGTAGCCTCCATTTAAAGTTTAAATACATGCATTTTAATTTCTATATATCTTAGAAAGTGACATATTGGCTTTTTTCCACTATTAGAACCTTTCTATCAGAAACTAATCACTAGATCAACAGATGCTGTAGAAGAGAAAAAAAAAGTATTAAAATCAGCATATCAATTAGACATTTTAACTTAATGAAAACATGACTTTGAAATTAGAAGAAAGATTTAACCAAAATTCATTCTGTATGATCTCTTTAATCAAAGCAATAGCATGTGTCCATTTCAAAAAAGTGTAAGCCACTAAATGACCAGCAAATTACTAGACTGGGTGTCTGTGTTGAAATTTCTATTTGCAACCTCATTATTTATCCATTTAACTAATTGCTCCTATGTTGACTAAGGACCACTAGTATTTCCAAAAGTGGTTTCCAAGCTTGGCAGATTGTTTGTGCTTAATGTAACTCTGATTAAAGTACTCTAGCACTTACAAGTTTGTATTTTGTCAAGGTCTTAAAATTCATTAATTCAGCTTTTCTCTCAGCACATATTTATTTTGCCGTTAGGTGCTATCAGGTGGACTACAACTCAGAGCAATCATGATAGTTCTGAACCCTGCCCTATCCTGCACCACGGGCATGATATTTATCATCCTCAGGTCCATTGTCACAGTCATGTGCCTCGCTGAGGATGGTGTTTAGTAGCCTTTTATTAGAGAGTTGAGATAACCTCCAATCTTCAAGTATTCCTGAGTTTCTTGGGAAGAAAACTTTCAAATTGAAAGGTCAATGCTATGCTGTTAGTTAACTTTCATAAATAATTATAACAATATAAGTATTTATTGACCATGTATTATTTCCAGACATAATCGTATAAAATGTCTTCAAGATTCCTTAAATTTTAAATAAAATTTCAACTACAGCATAATCTATGACAGCAGCAATGATTGATGCACTTTGTCAGTGACAAACTGAAGACTCTTCTAGAAAATTTTTATTTTTGAAGAGAAGTAGTAAATACATCTATGGATTTTTAAATTTTTTTTAAAATATGAAAATGCTAAATGTCTTAAAGACATGTGAGTTGGATATGCTGGAAAATGTGTTCACTATATATTGAACTAACATACTGCTGAAATCAAGAGCAATTAAGTAACATGTTTTACATTAAACTGTTGATACTATGAAAATTTTACTTCATTTGCTCATTGTTTCCAGTCAGAGCCCTCCATTGGACTTATGGGTCAGCAAATCACATGGGAGAAGATTGTTCATATTACACATATACCATTGTAGGCAGGTAAATTTCTTAGATATTTAGTTTTTCAAATAAAATTTAAGAATATAACATAATTAAAATAAGGATTTTAGTGGTGTCTTGATGAATTTTAGTTAAGCTAAATTGGATGAAAGAAAAACTAAATTTTTATCTCACAATTTGCACTATTAGTTCAAAATAAATGCTGTAAAAATCAACTGAGGTAAGAGAAATCAAGGTAAATATTTCAAAATTAAAGCACAGTGTCTGTATATGATTTAGTGGAGTTCAATCACAAGAAAGGGAAAAAGAAACTATAAAGATGGATATTTTTGTGCTTTAGAACAGATTGATGATCATCTTTCCCACCAGCACTGCAAATATCGGTTATAAAACCTGTAGAAGTCACATTATTTTCCTTTTGTTTGAGTTACTTTCAAAGGTGAACAATTCTTCTAGCTGACATTTTATTTTTTAGGTAGTTAAACACTGGTTAGAACACAAACACAGGAATTGTTAAATGAGGTCAAACTCATGCTTAACGGTGCAAAGGAACCTTTGAGAGTGGCCTGGAGTCAAATTTAATGTTAGGGCACAACTGTATTCTGCATTCTCACTTATAATATCAATACCTATCTCTGACTTCTCCCCTAACTTTATGTAAATAAATTCCATATCTGTAACTCTAAAGCACAACCATGTGGCTCTACTTATTGACAACAGCCAATTGCTATCAAGTTAACTTTGATCCAAGTCGTCTCATGTGTACCAAACTACTATTGTAATTCACAAGTTTATCCAGGGTCCTTTTTCCTTCTTTTTTTTCCCCCCAAAGCAATAGACCTTACACTCCAAAAATCTCTCTGTAAATTTTAATTTCCAATCTTTCATTTCACAGTATATATTAACCACAGTATATGAAGAAGAAAATGGAATCATAATTGAAATCCATCAACAATCTATGTTATGCAGAGGACCTAAAACACCTAATGAGCAAGATCAAAAGTGGGAGCCTTCAAATATGGTTTACACATCAACATCAACAAAACAAACAAAAATCCTCACAAATTTACCAAGAACCAACATGATGGCAGACATAAGAGATAAGCTGAAATTATTTCACTTTCCATGAGTCTAAATTGATTCTGACTGAAGCTACAGTCCAGAAATCAAACAATGTATTCAACTGGGGAATTTGTTCCCAAGAACTCTTTAAAGTGCTAAAGAGAAAAGAGATCATTTCAAAGAGTAAGGTGTAGCTGACATGGTGTTTTTATTGCTTTATTTACAAGTGAAAGTTAGACAATGAATAACAAAGATCAAAGGAGAATTGATACCATTGCATTGTGGTGTTGGTGAAGAGTATTGAATATATCAGGATCCATCTACAGAACAAAAATAACTCTTAAAAGAAGGGCAACATGGGTATTCTTTAGGGTAAGGAGAGTGAGACTTCTACTCACACAATTTCACCATGAAGAGACAGTCCTTCAGAAAGAGGAATCTTTCTTGGAAAAGTGGAGGGTCAGTGAAGGAAAGGAAATTCCCAATGTGATGAACTGACACATTCACTATAACAATAGATTTACAGCAGAGTTTGTATGAATGGCACAGAATTAAGTAAGTTTTATATGCTGTACATAGAATAGCTATACATTGGATTTGATTCAACTGTGCATGACAAAGATAGGGACTCAACTATTTTCAATTAACTTAAATCCAATATATATAAATTTTATTTAATAAACTTTACTTTCCAGTTTCTTCTAGCATTTCCAATAATGGGATAGATCTATTGTTATAAACTACCTATGATCATTTCAAAATTTTTGAAAAATCAAGTCTCAAATGACAGTGTTACTATTAGGCAGAACACTTTTAGAATAAAGATATAATTTGTTAGCAATCACAGTCAAGATGTAATACTGGGACTGGGTTTCTCCTCATGACTTAAACAATAGAAAACCACTTGAATGTGTGAAATAATTGATTTCCAGAGGCTAAACCACACACAGGACAGGATTATAAAGGATTATGAACTCCAAAAGATAAGAAATAAAGAAGGTAAATCTAGCATTGCAAAGTTTTTTGCCAAGAAAATACATTTGAGTTAATGAAGCAGGAAAGGCTATTGCAATCAGAGATTGTAATCTGATTATGGTAAAGACAGAGAGGTCAGGATTTAAGGAATTTGCAGAGGTTAAGATCTGTAAAGGAGAGTGCTATAGAGAAATGAGTTATGAAACAAAAGCACACCAGAAATGCTGTTTGATGTCCTTTGACTCTGTTTTGAGTATACAGAAATAGAGATATAAATCTATGATAATGGGCAAAGTTATTAGGAAGCGTGAGCTTGATGGTTTTCAGACTACGAAGAAGAAAGATTCCCTCAGTGATACCAGTGTCAGTTGTCATATGTACCATCACGTCTGCGCCAACTCATAACTGACTCTCCACTGGGTTTTTGAGGCAGGAAACTGTGTGGAGGAGACCGCCCATATTCCTCACATGAGCAAGCTAGTGGATTCAAACTGGCTGAACTGAACCATTGATCCCTTAAATTTTGATATGGGAAGACTAGATATAAACTACGCTTGAAGATACTCTGAAACCATAGCAAAAAACCCTCTGAACTCCATATCTCAAGGTGACAAAATAATCGAAAAACAGCCTAACTCCCAAATGGAACTTTCTCCCAGTATAACACATCTTTTTGACAACATAAAACACACTGTCTCCAGCATTTTAGAATCTTAGAGACTTTACAAACCAGAAAAGCATGACTCATAAACAGAAGATATGTGAAATATATTAAAAAATAAAAAGGAAACTTCTACTAAAAATGTCTGAAATGAGCACACACATCTATACAACTGATATGTTTCTACGGAAGATTTGTGAATGTGAAGTAGTGTAAATAGAAAATATTCAAAATGCAGCACACAGGTTAAAAAATGAAAAGGAAATGAGCATTCTTTCGGTGACCTGTATTATTAAGCTACTATAAAATGTGTGTATTGAGAGTCCCGGGTCATGCCTCTGCATTGGTTCAAATCCACCAGTGTTCCTGCGGAGGGAAACTGGGCATTCTCCGCCTGTGCATGAAAACCCAACTGGAGGGTCAGTTCGGAATCAGCTTCTACTTAACAGCAATGAGTTGGAGGATGACCGTCCAAATCACGTGACAATAAAAGACTCAACAACATGGCTAAGAATTTTCCAATCACAAAGGAAATTATGGTCTCACCTTGACTCTCGGGCAGGGTAAACCCAGGCAGCAATACCAAGACACACCCAAATTTACTGATAATCAGGAATAAAGAGTGTGATGAAACTTTCAAGTTTGTTCTTTTTAAAATAAACCTTTACATCCTATGAAACCTGGAGAACCATAGTC